ATTTGTATTTTTGGTATTGGCCCTAGTCTCTTCCATGAAGGCGTTGGAATGTTGAGCCATTTGTCCAACTAACCTCTCCAAATCAGAAGGTTCCTTGGTTTGGATTGGTGGAGGCTGTAGATAGTTGTTTGATGTGAAATCAAGACCAGTGCCTTGAATCTTCCGTTGATAATTACTACCTCCAGCAGAAAAATTCTGACCTCGTTGAACATTTTGCTGCTGAGGTCTCTGATCATACCAGATGCCACTCACTTGCATTTGTTGCGAAGAATCAGAAGCCATCAAAGAAAGACATTCATTAGACTCATGATTGTCCTTGCAATATTCACAAACAACAGCAGCAGCTTGAGCCTGAATACTAGAAAGATGCATCTTGTCAAGCCTTGAAGTCAAGTTTGCTATTTGTTGAGATAATAATTTATTTTCAACTAGCACCACATCATTACCTTCCAGCTGAAGGATACCTCTCTTAGGCTTGGATGACAAACCTTCATTTTCATTTGCAGCCATTCTTTCAATCAGCTCAAGAGTCTCATTTGCCCTCAACGATTTAATTGTGCCACCTGCTGCACCATTCAACACCATCTAAACCTCAGGTTTACAACCATTAAAGAAGATTCTCACCTGATTACCAGCAGACAAGTTATAATGAGGACATATCGTCATTAAATCCTTGAATCTGTTCCATGCTGCACACATAGATTCACCCTCTGATTGAGTGAAATTGGTGATATCATTCACCATCTGATTGTATCTCTCCATCGAGAAGAACTCAACAAAGAACTTCTGAGATAAATAATCTCATGTAGGAATGCTGAGTGCAGGCTGCCTTTCCAATCAACTGAGAGCTTTTCTCTTAACAGCAAAGGGAAACAATCGCAACCGGATTGCATCATTGGACACTTGAGGATGTTTGGTTGAGTCACAGATCATCGGAAATCTGTCTCTGAATCTGTGAGGATCTTCATTCTCCTCTCCTCCAAACTGAGCTCTCTCCACCAATTGAATGTTAGAAGATTTGAGCTCCCAAGTATTGTTAGCAATGGTAGGTTGAACAATACTTAAGTTGGGCCAGTTAAATGCTGGAGTGAGGATAGTATCCATGAATGGATTGTCTGCATCATTATTTTCGGCCATGATTTGTGGTTCTTCCGGAAGAGTCTTTAACTCGTTGAATGCAAGCTTCTTCCGAGCGAGTTTTCTGTTTATCTTTTCAGTCTTTGTAATCTTCAAATCAAATGGGAATTCTGCAGTTTTTCTTCGCATACAACTTAGAAAGGAGATTAGTAGCACTTTTCAAATAAAAATAAAAATAAAAAAATAAAATAAAAGTATTCACAAAATCCAATCTTAAAGATCAAGATTATATGATAAAAGAAACGTCAATCCCCCGCAGACACATTGTTTTTTTTTTTTTTTAAAATAAGATTGCACATTCATCGATGTGTGTATAGTATAAGACAATTATCAGTGATAACATAAGAGTAATAAAATCTATATATATATATATATATATATATATATATATATATATATATATATATATGGGATAAGATATTGTGACACCCAAGTTATGTTACATCCATGTGACATCCAGTCAATCTCACCGTTAGATCGCTTATGTTGATCCAACGGTTATATTTATTTCCATCTTTGTATGGTCATGATTTCCCAAATTTAAAGTGAAAGCATTAAATATGGGAAATCATGACCATACAAAGGTAGAAATAAATATTAAATATTAAATTTGGGAAATCATGACCATACAAAGATGGAAATAAATATAACCTTTGGATCAACATAAGCGATCTAACGGTGAGATTGACTGAGTGTCACATGGGTGTAACATAACTTGAGTGTCACAATATCCTATCTATATATATATATATAGGGTTTACATTTCTGCAGTTGCTGTATGTACGTGCAACAATCAAATACTTGCCATATATATACTTGAAAGCATTGAATGCAGGGAATCATAACCATTCAAAGGATGAAAGTATTAAATGTAGAGAATCATAACTATACACCTGCCTTTGCTGTACGTAAAGCGGCTGTAGAAATAATTTTACCTATATATATATATATATATATATATATATATATATAGAGAGAGAGAGAGAGGTAGGATCCTTTGACACTGGTGTCAAATTTAAAGTTTGACACCTCATCTGAGAGTCATTAGATCAAAAAAGATCAATGGTGTCACATGTTTACAAATCAGAGTTGTTGATTTTTTTTATCTAACGACTCTCAGATAAGGTGTCAAATTTAAAATTTGACACTGGTGTCAAAAGATTCTACCTCTATATATATATAGGCTTTCATTTCGTCATGTTGCAAGGAAATTTTCTTCCTGCCACAAAAATAGACAAGAAAAATAATATTAAAGAAAGTAGAAGATACACATTATCTTATTTTCCTTGCGATGGTGTTGCATGATAGCAATTTTGTTCCTGCAACATGATTCTTATTTATCCCTGTACGTGTGTATGTGTGTGGAGAAGTTATAACTTTTTTTTTTTTTATAACTTCTTACATTCACTTTTGGTTATTGGATCAAATCAAATCAAAAACTCTTATTTAATATAATTTTGTAACTATTGATTTGATTTATTTTTAACAACCATAAAATGGTTGTAAGAGAAAAGTATTATAAATATAACCTTTATACATATATATATATATATATATATATATATATATATATATATATATATATATATATATATGCTTTATTTTTCTCCAACCGTTTTGCATACAATAAATAAATTTAGAAAATCATAATCAATAAACAATATAAGATTTATTGTTGGAGGTCCAACGACCACATAGATAAATGATTAGCAACTGTAGTGTGATCTTAAGGACTAAAAAATTAAAGCTACAATAGTCCAAGATGACGACTCAAAATTAAATCTACAATGGTCCAAGATGTTGAGCTACTCAGCCCTTGGTCGGGGGTTAGAAAATAGGACATGAGAAGGGATAAGTCCTACACAAACAAGGTATGTCAAGGCGTGTTTCTTCAATATTATATAATTACCACTCGTCATACGCGTCAATTTTTTAGATCTAGAGTAGAACCAAATACATTGAATGTGTTTGCGACGGGCTAACAACTCATCCCCTGTCATTATCTCTCTCTTTTTTATTTTCTCCTTATTTATATAAGTGGTGCCAACGTATAACATAACGTAGACCTTGATTTCAAATACTTTCATAATGACGAAGAAAAAATTAGTTTGAAAATGAGAGATTTCGAAAAATACCCGAACTTTTGGAATCATAAACGACTAAACGTCAATGATTGTTTTTTTTTTTTTTTTTTGTTACAATGATCATGTGGCAACATACGGAATACCCATTATTATAGAAGGTTTCATTATGTGAAATAATAAATGTTCACAAAATAAAACATTCATACAATTTTATTTTATTTTATTTTTGAAAAAAGTTGTTTTCTCCAAGAAAAAGGAATGGCTTACCCCTCTTTGCAAGATATGATTCCCTCACGCAAACGCCTAACTTTTGGTGATAACATTGCCATTGCTGCACTTTGCTCTAAAATGGTGCTATCTACTTTATAGTAACATTGGGAATTAGATTATAATATAATATGGACCTTTCATGTGTCGACGAGCTTCGATTTGACCTCAGGTGTTGCAACGGAATAAAGGGATTTTAGATTAATCTCAATTGTGCCACTTATGCATCCAAAGTGGCGTTGATCAATGTTAATCTTTGAGTTCTTATGGAGCCCACAGTATACACAAGCCACATGCTATTGAGGTTCCCTTATTCCAGAAGTTACTTTGACAACAAGAAGGGAGAGGAGCCAATAAGAATCTTACATATATATATAATGCCTGTCAATATCTTATTTCCCCTTAAATAACATCTGTCAATCACTTTTTTTTTTTGGTAAACCTGTCAATCACTTTTTAAATTATGTTCTTTTATTATAATTATTATAATTTTTTATTTATAATTACCATTATTTCCATTTACTTTTTTCCTTATTATATTTTTTTTCATATACGATAAAATTTAAATTTTACTAATTTATAATCTTGACGTCGTATACAAAGTGTGTAGAACAAAATACCAGTGAAATATTTTTTTCTTAAAATATTTTACTAATATTTCGTTATGCATGCTATAAATATGATAGATTTTTAACTTCTATCAACATGAAAAAATAAATAAATAAAGAAATTCATTAAAATAATGATAATAAAAAATATAAATATAAATAATAGTAGTTATAATTAAATGACGTGTTGCTCCAAAAAAAAAATGACGTGATTTGATAGGTCATATTTGACGATAAGAAAGAACGAAGTCTATTTACTCTATACAATTTGCTATGAGCATATACGAGAAGGCCATATTTTAGAAGGCAAAATGAAAGATAATTAAAAGAGAAAATTATGATAAGAAAAAAAAAGTATTCTTGATGGATTCTAACGCTAATGCGATAGCTATCAACCTGAATAGAAAATGGATTTTCTTGTCTTAAAAAAAAAAAAACATGACATGGTGACTTGAGGTAATAGTAATTATATAAAAATAAATCAACGGTTATGATTTAATAATTATTTATTTTAATATTTTTTCTTCTCTTTTATTATTATTAATTGATCAACCTTTGTATAATTATGATTATTCGTATAATCATGTCATATTTTTTTAAAATGAAAGTATCAACTCCTATTTGAATATGGACTGTCAAAAGAACCGGTAAAGTTCTACAATTCCATTAACCACAAGTTTTATAAACGGGATTTGCATTTGTCATTTAACATGACACAACAAAGTTTCCTACGTACACAATATTTTGTGAGGCTCATACTTTTTGACAAAAAAAAAAAACTACGGCACGCAAAACGAATTTATATAATGTTATACAATCACTTTTTCTACGACATAACTCTTATAAAACCCTTTATAAACAGGTGATAAAGTTTAAAGGCATGGACACACTTTCTTTATTATTATTTTTATTGTTATTATTGCACACACACCACGCAAATCCGTTACTCTATACACAGTGATTTGCCATAGATCCAAGATAAATACGTTACTCTAACTAGACATCTCTGTCCGGAACATATATTTTACCATCTTTTTTATGGCTCCCATGCACCTAGCATAAGAAATCCTTCACCTCTGTTTTTTCAACTCTCCAAATACATAAATCTTATTCTCACACAAACTAGAATTCACACCCACACAAGCAATCTCTGAAGTGAGATCCTCATTCCCATCGAACCCAAGCACCATCATGTTAATTAAAGGGCATCAAATTAAGGTACCAATGGTCCTAAATTTGATCCTTGTTCTTTTTTATGTCACTGCTCAAGTCAACGGCGTTGAATCAAGGAAACTTGATGAGACCACGATGCCACCTGCCACAAACGGTACTGATGAAAAGTGCACGCCGTGTGGTTACAGCTCTCCACCGCCACCACCGGCAAACCCACCGCCATCACCACCACCGCCATCTCCGAAGAAACCACCTTCACAGTATTGCCCCCCACCGCCCTCATCATTCATATACATAACCGGACCTCCGGGGAACTTGTATCCCGTTGATGAGAATTTCAGTGGAGCAAGCCACCGCCACCACCACCACCGGAGTTTCGCCGCGTTCTTTCCACTTTTAGTTGGGGTGTTGAGCATGCTTGCCTTTTGGTGATTATCTTGTGAAGAAGGTAATAATCACGATCATGATCATGATCAAATCATTCTAAAAGCAATGGAAGAATGTTACGGTTTATGGTTATAATTAGGAATATCATGGTTTTACTTAGAGGAGAATTTTGTACACAGTAATTAGTGTTTGACATGCTTGCTCTGTTCTTATATCATGTGATCAATTTTTATTCAATAATAAGAATCTTCTTCCGTAATTTACTGCCAAATTTGCTACGAATGCCTTCTTTTTTTTTTTTTTGCTCTAATCTTAATTTTCTACGTAATTTCTAAAAATGTGCATATAGGGATGAATGGTAATTGGTCGAAACAGGAAAAATCAATCGCAATATATTGTAATAATGTTGAATTGTTGCCAATTACCATCTATTATTAAATTATCATGAATGCATATCGATCACCATTCACCCACCGCCTCCATCATTTTTGAAGGGTCCACGCTTTGTTGCTAATAAATGCTTCTTACGTTAGACATTGCCTTATCAGAATACTTGGCAAATTATGGATCGTAGAAACAAGAGAGAAGCATTAACCTCAACGAACTTTTTAATTACTTAATTTTCTTTTATATTTAATTAGAAAATGTGAATAAAAATAACGACCGTGAACAACATATAGGAAAAGCATACACTGAAATTTTGTTTAATATTAACATTAGTTGAAGAGAAATTTTGATTTTTAGGATTATTTTCAGGAAGATGAGCAGAATGATGACAGGTATCTAAGACTATAATTAGTGTTTATTCCAACCTTCCACCCCCATATTCTATTACATAGTTCCGCGTGTCAGAATTTTTAATTCTCTTTATTAAAAGATTAATCAAGTTTACAACTAACAAGCAGAAAGGGCCAAACTCTTAGACAAGCCACGTGTGAGTGTGCAATCTCATTGTTATCATTGCGAAATTAGAGAATAATCTGTTGGATCCTGATGTCAGACTTCAATTCATGTTTGTAATATGAAATGTCAGTTGTCAGTGGCTTGAAACATCAACTTCGGTTGCACCAACCTTGCATAGAGTGGGGACCCAGTGGTAAGGTTTGGCAAGTTTAGACGATATCTTTTCACTGTCTGATCCCTATTACCGTCCTAAGAAAATTTCAGTGGGGCACGGCTTCTAGTTTTAAGCTGCACATAAACATGGGAATCAAATGGGTCAAGTGATTTGCTTGTCCTTGAGTTATTTTCAAAGTACAGCACTAAAAGTGTTTGGTTTAGAAATTGTATTTGCTGCACTACTAAGTTCCAGTTTTGTAAATCTTATCCTTAATCGTAAGAGAGGACAAAATGTTGCTAAACCAAATTATTGACAAGCTTTTTGCTATTCATGTAAATATTTTATGTCATCACTAAACCAATTCATTGTTTAATTATGTTAGGTATAAAAATTATTTATGAGCTTTCACTCATGCTCTAAATAGAACTGGTCATTGACATGGTATCCTCTATGACTAAGCGGTTTCCCTGTACAATCAATTGCTCGCAATTTCGGATACGACTACATTAAGTTTAACAAATAGAAGTTCAAATGAATGGAAGTATTGCTTAGGCGCCTCACCATAAGCAGTGATACACTATTCGGGTTAAAATAATTTTTGGTGTACTTTTTATATCTTTTTTGTACGTCTTTCTAGTTAATTATTTATATTTGGCTTATCAGCAACTTACTATTCTGAGTTGTTAATTTTTTTTGTGATGTTTTTCAATCACCACTTAAAAATTAAGTTACTAATATATGTTTCAAAAATCAATGTTAAAAAAAAAAAAAACAAAGCCATTAGTAAAAAAAGCAGAGTCATAAATATAAAAAAAGTGTAACCGCGTAAAAATACAATTGTGCAGTCAGTATTTTAAAAATCACATCATCTTTTAGACTTTTAGCTATTGCAATCCAATCAACTTTTATAAATCACAAATGCTATTCATTAAAAAAGGAATACATAAACGTTATAACAATTTTGTTAGCTTAACCTTGTTAGTTTTGTTGAGTGATACTCTGTTAAGGATAGCTTCAGAAGACATCACTAATATTCGGTGGTGGGTCTAGTTGAAAATGATGCAGATATGTTCAAGGGTGGAATTATTTAGAGCATTATATGATTTGCATCAAACTGCATATGGATTACTTTTTTTGGTTTGTCTTTGTTGAGCGGAGATAAGGGGGTGTATAGGATTGAGATTTTAAAGGATTTTAATAGATTATTTTTAAATAAAAAAATTCATTAGTATTTAATTAATATTTTAAAAAATTGAAAAAAGTCACGTGCTATTCAATTAGGATTTTAAAAATTATTTTAGAGTCCGTCCAAATCCGTTGGTATTCAATCACGATTTTAAACAAAAGAAAAATAATCTTTTGGTATTAAAAAATCTAACTATTTTAATGGATTTTCTATTGTTGTGAATTTTGTGAGACTTTTTAGTGAGAAATATAAATATGATGTATCTCTCACAATCTTACTCTAACTCCTAGGATTTCTTGAGATTTCTCTATTGCAGTGTCTTTTCATTCCTTTGGGAGTTTTGGATTCTGCCATGGGAGTTTTGTAAAAGCTCAAAAATAACAAATTTTTGAGCGATTTTCATCACAAAACAACCCAGAAACAACAAACCAACGAGATTCTAATATAATCCATATAAAAAACAACAGATTTTTGAGAGCTTTTAGAAGTTTAAAAAATGATTTTTCAAATTATGGGTCGCGATTTTTCTTGGCACAAAAATATATGATTTTTGTAGTAAAAACAAGATAAAACAGTGGAAAACAACAGGGAACTAAAACCCTCAAACTAATTTTCGTTTTACATCAATGAAACAAGATAAGATCAATTTAAAGAAAGGTTGAAACTTTCATAATATAAATCCTATATTTCGTAATAGTACATTCATGAACGAAATTCTTACGCCATAGGAAATGATTTCAAATAATTTTTGTGTCAGTAAATAACAAAAAACTTATTTTTCAAAAGCCCTAAAGCAATTTAAGGTTTCAATGTATCGATTGAAAATAATTTTAGAAATTTTTTAAACTTTCATGTAATAAAACTCAAAAATTCAGATTCAAAATTTTCTTAGAATACTAAATGAAAATATGCATATGATATATGGTTAGAAAACTCTAATAACATAGAACAAAAATCCCAAGATTTTCAAGATCATTTGCAAAAAATTCCAAATGAAATTTTATCATGAGCTTGAGGTTCTATAAGCAAATTTAGAATTTTTTTAATAAATAAAAAAATTGGATCTTATAATCATATATGCATAGCTCTGATACCAAATGAAGAATATAATTTTGAACCCATTAGTCAAATCCAAGAGCATGAACGAGAAAATACTAATGCGTGGAAGACTCGTATAGCTTTAGATGTGTGGAGAGATGTTGCTTAGTAATTTTGAATGTTTGTTAAAAATTATATTATGTTTTACTGATTGAGAAAATTATATTATATTTTTATTTTTTATTAATATCATTGCATTTCTTTGTTATTTTTTTATGGAATAGGTTATTCTACCTACTCTTATTTTATTTTATTTTTTTTGTTGTAAATATACCTACTTTTATTCTACCTACTCTTATTCTGCCTACCTTTGCCTACTCCTCTCACATCGTTAGATTATCATCTCATCCAACGGTGAATATTTGCGGAATAAAATAAACTTTTTTCCTTTCTTTCTCCTCATTTCCTCCCACATCCTTCTCTCTGTTGAAGATCAAGATAGTGAATTTTTTTGTGAACGAAAAACACATACTCGATTAAAGAAAGAATGAAAAACACATATTATCGATGATCATCATTTGAAAAAATCACTTCCTCAAAAATCTCATTATTCATGTTGATGTACATAGTATAGAAGTCTCACATTGTGTATATGTCGTTGTATTTCTTACTTAGTTTAATATATAAATGAAATCTCCTTCGTGTAGTTGACACAAGGATTACAATGAATACCTCTTGTCTCTTGGTAATTAACATGGTATCTAGAGCCTAACAAGAGGAATACTAATTCGCTTTTTTTTCGGTGGACCACTGTCTGCTGAGTAAAATATTTTTTTTTCTCCGGAAACAGTCATATCTGTCAGTTTCTAGCTTCCATATATCGTCTACGGACCTGTCTGATCACTGCCGCCATTAGGCACCGCTGTCCGCCGCCGTTGACCGCCGTCCGCCGCTGTTGACCGCCGTCCACCGCCGTTGACCGACGTCCGCCGCTGTTGACCGCCGTCCGCCTCCGTTGACCGCCGTCTCCGGCGACTTTTCCGGTGAAACCCATATCGATCTGATCGCCACGAGAAGACGCTCCTTTCTGTCCAGGACCCATCCTCAGATCCTCCTCCACACGCTCTCACGCGCGTCAAACAGCGGCTGCAACCCGTTTTGTTGCAGCGGCGCGTCTCACTTCGGTTGGCCGTCGGACCACCACGGTTCCCTTCGTCTTCTCCTTGCGCACCTGGACCTGTCCTCACTTTGTTGTTTCGACTTCTTTTCGGCTTCCTACGGTGTCTTTTCCCTTGCTGGTCACTATTCACACGCGTTTCCACCTAAGACTGCTATGGAGCCTGCAGTATCTGCTCCCTCTTCAATTGACCCATCTGCCCTTGTCTCCAAGGGTTATGCACGTGGACGCAAATTGTCTACGAGATGCTTTCTCTGCACTCATTGCAACAAGTCGGGCCATACTATTGATCGTTGCTGGGATCTTCACGGTCGCCCTCCTCGCTCCGCTCATTTTGCTCAGAGTGTTGCTCCTGCCTCGGACTCCGCTTTGATTTGCAGGACCACAGCCACCTCAATCTGTTCTCACTGACTTCTTGCAATGGTATGAAGGGAAGCGTCCTCCTGGTACCACTGCCTCTGGTGCACACACGGGAAATTTCTTTGCTGGTGTTTCTCTCTCGCCCTCTCTTGGTCCATGGATTCTCGATTCTGGTGCATCTGACCATATTTCTGGTAATAAATCTTTATTTACCTCTCTCTGTACGTCTGGTCTCCTGCCCAGTATCACTATGGCTAATGGGTCACTGGTTCAGTCCCAAGGGATTGGCACTGTTCTCTTTTTTCCTTCTATTCCCATTAAGAATGTGCTTTATATTCCTCATTCTCCTTTCAACCTTATTTCCATTAGTCTCTTGACTCATTCCCTTGACTATATTATTTCTTTCACTAAAGAGTCTGTCATTTTGCAGGATCGGAGCTCGAG